GGAATTATCACCATCAGATTTCGTTCAAATGATTCAAAAGTTAGAACCTGTTTATACAATGTAATTAATAGCACCTTTTAAAAGTACTGCAGTAGAGGTCGGAGTGCAGCATAGAATTTATCCACAAGCTGAAAAAACCCTAATCACCCGCACATGTTTCCGTAGTCAATTAAAGGAGTGATGGTTTTATAACTTAGTGTAATTTTAGCCTGAGACTAGGCTCTTCATTGGGGTAAAAAGACGAAAAAGAATAATCGGCGAGCGAAGCAAGCTTAGCGGGAGTCGGGAAAGGGTTTTGCTGTTTTACTCCGTTTTTAGCCTTTTCTTCCACTGCGGAGCCTGGTACTAGGCTAGTGTAATTCAGTTGTATAACGACTTAGAACTATCTAAAATGTGATGTCAGAGACATCAGAGACAGAGACTCTGATTGAAATCGTTTTCCTTAACGAGAGCTTGATGATCCGGGCCAATACGATACTTAAACTACATCTTTACTGGAATATTTATCGTTGAAGCCATAATTCGGCTGATTGCCATGCGTCTGGACTACTTTAAGCTTGGATGGAATGTGTTTGACTTCATAATAGTACTCTTCTCCATTGCTGGTAGGGTACCCATTGCAGCTTTTTAGTAGATTAGGAGGCAGCCTGGCCGAGTGGTCAGCGCGTCGGACTCGCAATCCGGCGGTCCCGGGTTCGAGTCCCGCCCTGGCCACTTGCTGGATTTGTTCTCGGTCGTCCCGAGTTCGAATCCGCGGCCACGCTTGTAAATAGCCAACTGGTTGCCTCCTGCCCGTTAGAGTTTTAATCCTGTTATGTTGTGTTTGAATTATATGTTTCTAAGTACTTGAGTGGAGTGCCTGTAAACTAGCTGGGTAAGCTAAGTGCACTTTCCACTATAAACAAGCCTTTAAACTGTTTTTTTAGAGTTCCTTTATTTCGCCACATTAAGGGAATCTAAACAGTCTTGGAATCAGGATTCCAAGCTGTGGATTCCGGATTTTAGGTACTGGATTCCAGTCTTTGTCAGTGGAACTTGGATAGGATCCCCGATTCCTTGAGCTGTATTCGAGATTCCAAAGCATTGGATTCTGGATTCCAAAAGCAAAACCTTCCCGGCTTCCCTGCAGGGCAATCTGTTCACCGGGAGCAACTTTGTCTCATGTGTTACTTTTAACTTAAGGGAGGGGTAGGTGGGTCACTCGGCCTTTATAATTCTCAGATCAGCTTAGAACGGACACAGCATTCTGTCAGCTGGTTAGAGCAAATGTTATGACAGTTCGACAACTGTCTTCCCTTTCCCCCAACAACATTGTTGTGAGATGTTGTAAAGAGCTAAATCTCGTTTAAGTTTTTAATGTTTTTTTTTTCACATTTCTGTTTTTTTATTGTTAAAGCTAACCCGCCATCACAACTTAATTGTTGTACTCGCGTAGGCACATTGTAACTAATTGTGATGATAAACAAACTCATTCTTGTTGAGGAAAACATTGTGACTGGTTTCTCCATCGTTCCCTACCCCCCACAGGTATCATTGTTGAGGACGTCCTGCAGCAAGACATGATACTCTCCCCAGGACTGCTCCGTGTAGTGAGAGTGTTCAGGATCGGGAGACTCCTCCGCTTTTTCGAAGGCGCCAAAGGAGTTCGTCGACTGATTTTTACGTTGGTTAAGTCACTACCAGGGCTAGTGAACATCGCCATGTTACTCTGTCTGATTATCTTCATCTACGCCATCATCGGCATGTCTTCGTTCGGTTACGTGAAAAAATCCAACGGAATTACAGACGTGGTAAATTTTGAGACCTTTGGAAGCTCCGTGCTTCTGTTGTTTCGGGTGGCGACTGCCGCGGGTTGGAACACGATTCTTGATCCTCTGATGGTCGCCTCGCCAGACTGTGACCCTAATTTAAAGAATAGTGGTAGTAACGGTAATTGTGGCAACAAATTTCTTGCTGTATTCTTCTTCGTTAGTTATATCATTATTATTTTCCTGATTATGATAAACATGTACATAGCTGTTATCTTAGAGAATTTCAACGAAGCTCAGCAACAGGAGGAGATTGGCGTGTCGGATGACGACTTAGAAACATATATTCAAGTCTGGCAAGAATTTGATCCCAAAGCTACGCACTTTATTCCCCTTAGTAAACTCAGTGACTTTTTAGACGCCCTTGAGCCGCCGTTACAGATTCCTAAGCCCAACAGACACCTGTTTGGGTCGCTGAATGTGCCGATCAAATCGGGCTATAAGATCTATTGCGTTGACCTTATGCAAACTCTTGTCCGGCGAGCCATGGGCGGTGTCGAGGGACACGATGAGGAAGAATTGGCAATGTTAGCGGAGAAGTTAGAGGAAAAGTTCCAGAACGTGCGAAAGAAAGAAGAAACGATTACGTCGCTTCCGGAGGAATTTAAGCACGAGACCAGGGCGGCATCTACGATTCAAAAAGCGATAAGGATTTTCTTGCTGAAGAAGCGATTACGAGATTGCGTTCGAGGAAAGTTGCACACTTATCAGCCATTGAATTTGGGCGAGAAAACAAAAGGTCATGGCTGGATCGAAAAGCAGGTTGAAGATAACACGCATGCGCACCAGGGTCTAGAGTCCGTGGTAGCCATGTTGTGGTACCAGCAAACAAAACGGTACGAAGATCAACGAGCGGAAGCGACTTTGCACGAAGGAGAAGACAACGGGGATGGTGAAGGCACGGAGAATGACGAAAGTAACCTGGAGAAAACCAGTAGCGACAGGCGCGCGACATTGACTCTCACTGACCCTGATCAACCCAAAACCTCACCTAACACTCTTAGCGTGGACTGTTAGCTGGAAAGAGAGTTTGTAGGATGAAATGATGATTCAACACAAACTGTCGCCGATGTTTCAATCTATCACACTGAAGTACCACTATGAACAGTGACGTCTTTTGCGAGAAGGGCGAAGCGCCAAAAAGAGAGAGTGATCAAATTATTGTGAATCAAGTCAAGTCGTTTAAGTTATTCGAGTATTTGGTGCGCAAAGCTTAGAGCAAGTTCATTCAGCACAGTTGGATGACGCATATTTGCTGTTGTATTAAATGTCAAGTAATTCTGCTGACCCAGTCTCATCAAAGCATTAAAAAACGAGCCACGGAAACCTCAATAGCTTCCGTCATTGGAAGAGACATTGATGATATGAGGCCCCCTAAAGAGATTCGCCAATCGGAACTTTCTAAAGAGTAAATCCGCTGTGCGGCAAGAAGCTGCACTGCGGCTGCATGTCGTCTATTTTCTACATTCAAAATGATAGAAGGCTAATGCCTGTTTGTAAGAATTACTTAGAAATATTTTTGTTATTATTTATCAGTGCTGGGTGAATTCAGAAGGTTAGTAATGGTTCAGTGCGTTGTCACGAAGTCGGTAACCTGACTTTAACGTCAAGTTCCTTAAATCCTAAGCATCTTAAAAATAGTTAATTTCGCTAACTCAGCTGACTTTAAATTATCTACAAATTTTGACTTTTTGTCACTGCACTGACACCGCCTAGCGTGGAGTAGGCGACAAAATTCCCAAGTAACTATAGAGTGTTTTCACTCACGTGACCATCATCTATGCAAATTTATTGGAACAAAAGAAAGCGTTTGCATAAGAAAAGAGTTCAACTCCCACAGGACTGGTTTGGGACACCAACATGGCCGCCGTTTCATTGTTTTGGGACACCAATATGGCCGCCGTGACGTCATGTGAAAACACTCTATAAGGGCAGTTAATCATTATAGTTGGAATTTTAAACACATTTGTAAAAGTAGTTAATAAACAACGCTTTGTGTTCTCGAGGACGAGAATTTTCGCGCGAATTGATGAATTACCCTCCGACCAAGAGGAACAGATTTTTAGTGGTACAAGTAATTATTTATCGGCTTTACAGCTTAAAACTTTTAAAATTAATTCTCTTTGTTAAGAGAAACAATGTACCAGGTACTAGCCGAGATCCACGGACTTCTTTTTGGAGTACATAGAAAGTCATCGAGAAAGACATTACGTATGGACTTGAAGATTGCCACGAATAAATTAAAACAATGCCAGTGATTATTTTACTTCGGTAATGTGGTCAAAATAGTCTTAATATTAACCAAATTAACAGATGCGCGTGCACGCATCTATAGACTGAAGCGTCAGATCTTAATGTTCTTTGTGCATGATAAACGTAACCCTCCAATTCCAGAGTGAATGCGCGATTGAGTGTTGCATGGTGCCTCTAGCTTTCGAGTCTGTGGACGAAATCCTTTGGTGTGACCATTCAAATGAAACCTCTCTCGCGGTACTTTCACATGGTGCTGTTTGCGTTTCAGCCTTTTACAAAATCAAATTTTGATTTTTTGTCCAATTTTGACTTTGCAACCTCAGGAATTGAGCTGGTTAGTAGAGCGTTCTTCGTACCAAATATAAATTTTAATAATGTGAGGCAAGTGAATACAGAAAACATGGCCTTAATCAGGTTGTTCACCTTCCTCGCGTTTGTCATCGAGAAAAAATAGTGCAGGTTTTGGCAATTTTTCTCTTCAATACCATTTTGGCTGACCCTGACGACAGCAAGCCCCATTACAACAGCTACAATTAGAAAAGGGCGCTAAAACAAACTTTGGTTTTGTTTTTTTTTTCCGTCGCTTTATTGATACATTTCCTCTATTTTGAATTAACAATTGATTATTTAATAATGTAATATTTTTGTTCTCTGATAGTGGCCTTTGTGTCAACTTAGAAGTGTAAATATTAAGACTTTACCATAGTTTCAGAAATTTATTGACCGATAATACGGTTACTTATTCACTGATTTGACAGGGTGAGAAAGCGACCATTGACCAGCCTTTAAACGTAAGTGAAACCAAAGGACCGTTCTTGATCGACGCAAACTATTTATCGCTTGTGAAAGTCCAGTTTCACTTAATATTATTCGGAGTTGCTCGTATACCTTTTTTAATGAGCATCTTCAAAAACTTCCACGGAACTAAGAAGTGTTAACACGATTTATTCTCGTTAGAGTTATCACTGTATTTTAGTATTTAATAAAACGAATATTTCTTTCTTTCCTTTTTTAACAATCAGTTTTGACCTGTAGCCTCCCTTTATTTTACAGTTGTGCACCTTGTTTTTTTTTGTTTCTATGTTTCTGTTTAAATTCCCTAGGCAGTGACTGTAACCGTCGGAATCAATAGACACCTTTGGACTCTTAAGACGAGGACGACTACAAGAACGGGATTTTCTCAATACAAAGTAGTGCGCGCGTGTACCAGCGTCATTTGGCGGGAAATCGTGATAGCCGTCGCTATTCAACGACGGGTTTAGATAATGTCATAGTGACGGAATCAAGTCATCGAATGTTAGAAGTTTTATCATTTTGGCATCGGAAGAGGGCTGAATCTCCTTCAATAAAAATTACCGTGCCAACTTTTCTGGTGAAAAAAAGTAGAGCCCAAGCTTTCCGTGGTGTTGATATTTTGAGAATAAGCGAAAAAATTTAAGCCAAATCCTCATCTTTGTAGTCGTACTCTTGCTCGAATTTAGAGGTCTCTAATGAAGGTAACAAAAACAAACGATGTTTGTGTGGAGACTAAGGGTTAATACACGAGTTTTGTACTGTAGAGCTGGAACGCTTTCTTCCCTGTGTTATAGGTTGGCTACTTATGAAAATTAAAATTTTCTCTTGTAATGCGCAAATGCGTCGGAGAAAAATATAGTTCCTTTATGAGGAAGCACTGGTGGGATTTTTTTGTTTATTTTCACCAATTTTTGTAAGTAAAAATTTTATACGTCAGAAATCATTAAACTATGCCAACACATATTTAGCTCCTGGCTGGGCTACTACATAAGCTGCGTCAACATTGTTTTCGTCTTATAGGGGCTATGAAACACTATTTGCCAGTATCTTTTTAAAATGCTAGAACTCTTCTTGACATCAATTGAATTCGAAAAATAATGGTCCAGTTTTGTTATTTTAGACTTTATTTAGGCACTGAAACAGTTTCTTGTCGTCTGATGCAACAGATGGCATAGATGGAGGTGGATTAAAACTTGAAAAAGTTGGGCTGGTAACCTTTTCAAGTTGTGATGATACCGCTTAAAAAATCATCCCCCCCAAAAAAAAAAAAAAAAAAAAATATATATATCTTCTTCATAACTGGACATTTTGTGTATGGGTAAAGATACTAAACAATGACTTCTACACAGAATTGACCTAAACAGCAGTACCCTCTTGACATACTCCCTTTAAAGTGTATATGACACGAATTTTCTATTGTCGTTTTTGTAAAATATGTATCCGAAATTTAAACTCGTCAATAATCTTGCGAAACCTATTTTCAATTTTTAAAACAAGCGAATTTGTATCAAAAATGTCCGCCCCATCGCGCGGCCAAATTGACAAGCAAAATATGACTTAGAATGATTTGCATGGATGTAGAATAATTAACAAGATGGGGGCAAATACGAAAGATTGTTATTGTCGAAAGCTCCCCAATCATATTCAGAGTTTTCTTGTACTTGGCTATACCTTCGTTACAGTAAGTTACATCGCTTAATTCCACAAAGCAATGACAAGAATAGGGAGCCAAGGCAACGTAAACTAAATGACTTCACGGACGTCATGAGCCTCTCTTTGATCCTTTATTCGTTCCCAGTCTTTCGGACATTTCTGAAAGGGGAAAAAGCAGATTTTGGATAGTCATTTTTTGGGAGACATAAGTTTAAAGTTCACAATTGTTTTTTTTTTTTTTTTTTTTTTTTTAAGTTGTTTGTTTTTAAGTTTTTTTTTTGAAGTTCACAATTGTTAAATAAACTTATCTATGGACAAAATCAGTTTGACCAGGCTCCTGGTTTGACAAAATGTCGTATCACATACACTTAACTTCTGATTACCAGTACACCGCGCTCCTTCGCTAGTCATGGCTTCAATAGTAGTTCGACATCTCACTATTTTAAAATGTGCTTCAAGAACCTTTGGTTTTGAATTTTTAAGACAGTATTTCATTTGTTCAAGCCAAGATAGCGTCTTAGGAGGTACGCTCAGAAAATTCGTTAAGCGGAATTTTATATTAGTATAAGATTGCAAAATGTAGGATTAGGGTAGGCGTGGGCGGGTAGCTTCCTATGACTCTTACTCTGATCCGCATCAGTATAAGATTCCGGGAAATTGCCCACCTACCCATCTTCTTACCCAGCGTTGACACTAACTGCTTTATAGAGCAATTTTGGGTTAAGGGAGGGGTAGGTGGGCAGTTTCCTAGACTCTGATTCCTTGTAATCCATATCAGTGCAAGATTCTGAAAAACTCCTCAGACCTGGCCCAAAATTCGATACCTTATACCAGACCTGGGGCCCGTTTCTCGAAAGTCCCGGTAACTTAACGGGCCCGGAATCATATTTTTAAATCAAAGTCTCAAGAAAAGTAGGGTGTGTTCTGACCTCTAATGAAGTCCATTTTGTTTCGTTAGCTAATAACTCTACTGTATAATTTTCAAAACTTTTAAAACTCTCTTCTAAAATGGAAAACAAAACAGCTTAACGGGCCCGGTAATTACCGGGAGCTTCGAGAAACGGGCCCCAGACCCTTACAGACCACTCTCTTTGATAAAGATTTTCCGCTACCGTTTAGCCGCTCAGATTACGTCAACATTTTTGATGCGCTTCAAATAAAGCTACCGTAAAATTTCGAAAATAAGTCCCGCGGCTTATATTTTTCAAAGGCCCTTTTTGAGGGGCTTATTTTTGGAGGGGCTTATCTACGGAGGGAAATTTGCTTTCAAATTCGTTATAGTTGGAAGTAAATGTACCGTTTTTGCTTTGTGTTAGTTTGTATTTGAGGGTAATTTTCCAAGTACAAGCCCCCGGGGGGCTTGTATTAGGTGGGGGGGCGATTTAACGGAGGGTTTTTTGCGTTACCGGATTGGGGGCCTTATATTTGGAGGGGCTTATACATGGAGGGGCTTATTTTCGGAATTTTACGGTATGTGCACTGCCGTCTCGAGATGCGAACAAAAACTGCGTCTTCCGAAATCCATTGCAAACTCCAGACCACGGCCATATTCTATAAAAAATGGTCCTGGAATCCGCACCTTCATAAAAAACTCTCCTCAGAGTGGAAATAATATTTTGAAAACGATTTTTCCTCCTCTGTTGTGGACGGACAGAAATCGGGAAAAAGTTTTGAAAAAGGATCACGGAACAGATCCTTTTCCCTCATCGGATAACAGTTTCACTGCCATTTGGCCATATTTTTAGGACTAATAAAACAGTGGTCGTAATATATAGCTAAAATCTCCCTCCCAACCCCGTAAAGCTGCGTGGTGGTGTCGAAAAATGGAGGCAGTAAACAGAGGTCAACAAGCAAGACCCTGGAGGTGCTGGGTTAGCCTCGGGTGTAAAAGTGATTGGTTCAGTACCTAAGAGACAACTTTGTCCAGGAATTTTACAGTGATTCAAGGCCAATCCGGGTAAATGAGTATCAGTTTTTTTGTTGACGGGCGAGAACTAAGGCCCTTACGAGAATTTTTTTGAAAACCGATGTAACAACAGGCCTTGAACTGAAACTTCACGATTACGATTTGCATTTATATCAACAGCTATATTTATTATTTTCTCAGTCTTCTTCGAAGTTTTTAAATGGAGAGTTTTCTCTCACGAGGCCAGCATCGATGCAAATTTATTGGAACAAAGGAATGTGTTTAGGAAAGAAAAGAGTTCAACTCCCACTAACAGGCTTTGGTACAGCAACATGGCCGCCCTTTCAGTTTGGAACACCATTATGATGGCTGTGACGAAGTAAAGTGTATTAAAGGAAGTCAAGTTAGTAATATGGCTGCAACAGTGTGAACTGCCATACGTCTCCACCTAGCCCGCGAAAACAGACGTTTCTCCTCGCTCATCGCCGCTGGGAACGTTTCGCGAGGAGGAACGTCTGCGACTTAGCCACAGAAATTCCATACTGATGACATAAAATCTGTCCTGAGTCCGGTCATAAGCGCTGATTGGACAAGGGAGTAGTTACATTGTTTCAGTTATTGTTTACGAATAACAGGTACAAGACAGAAGGCTACAAAGGTCAAGTGTAAACACGATGAACCTATAACAAAACAGTCAATATTTGTGGGATATATTCTTCTCTAGAAGAAGCATTTGAGTTTTGCTGGAGCTCGTTCGCATAAGAACACAACAGTTTAGCAAAATCTACCAGGAGAGACGTAAAATTGAACAAATTTGTATTTGGAACTCTATGACTACCGGATTCATTACGTAAACGTTGATTTACGTCATCAGTATGGAATTTCTGTCGTTGAGTCACAAACGTTCCTCCTTGAGAAACGTCCCCAGCGGCGAAGAGCGAGGAAAAACGGCTGCTCTCGCAGGCTAGTCTCCAGCCCCTAACTGTGGGGGAGCGCAGGGGAGATAGACGTCTGCATTCCGAGCGTCATAATGCCTTGCGGTGACGTCACCTACTTTTGCGAGTATGATAGGTATTTTCTGATTGGCTTAATAATTACCTTTTCGTAATAGAAAACCTTTTACTATTGGCTGAAAGCGCTAAGGAAAACATCCGTTTTGAAATAGTGTTGACAGGCTAAACGGCTCTTCCCCACGCACCTCAAGGTTAGGGGGTGGAGACGTATGACATTTTATACCATGGCTACAATAGTACGCGCGCTCTGATTGGCTGTTTTCTTGCAATGACCGGGCATTACTGGCTAGGTTTCCAAGGCATATACAATCTGCGTTTAACTTGATAGTGGATATCCTTATGGACATCCATGTCATGGTTAATTGACAGCTGTCAAAAAGGATATCCGCAGACCAGTGTCACCTGACTGTATCGCGAGCTCAAGCGTACAACTCATTGAGGTGACGTGTTTTTTAAAGTTATTCACTGACCAGTTGTTGGTTATAAATTGATCGCAAGCTCAGATCCATAATAAAAAGACCATATGCCGATTGACCAAATGTATTGACCGAGCGATAGCAAGGGCAATACATCAAGGCCTCTGTCTGAGATTTCGCTGTAATGACCGAACAGACGAGGTTAATAAGTAGTATATCATTCAACCTAAAAATCAAAACTGGTGTGTAATGAAAATAATTCGACTTTGGGCTTTACAAAGCCTGCACTGCCTACCAGTCAAGATGGCGTTGGAACGGCGATCGAGTGTCGGATTCGTGCTCTCCGCCTTTTTTTTAAAAGCAAACCAGGGTAACTTCACTGTGTATATGCGATACAAACAGTAAACGTTTCTTTAAAATATATATTTATTTTTTACAAAACCTGTACATAAACATACACAGTTTAAATAACTCTTGGTTTTCTTATTTCCGTTACAATAAATAATTCGCACATTTGTGACTTTTCATAAAATGCAAGTTTCGCATTCAGTAGCATAAATATAAGACGTGAACTTTGAAGCAGCGTTGAGAAATATCGAAAATATCGTATGCCAAAAAAGGGCATCATGACTATTTGTTCGATCGGTGTTTATACAATATCATATTTTTGGTATCATGAAACCACGTCATTAGTAAATTCCACTGCTGTGTACTTTTGAGGCGTGTACGGGGGTACATTTATTTAACCGCTTGGTTTTACGTCAGAAATTTAGAAAATTCTGAGAATGGACACATTTATTGGCATTACAGAAAAAAGAAAATCTAATTAAAGAAATTTTCTTTGGAAACCCATATCATTGACGTGATTTGGTTAACCTGGTACCAACAGAAAGCATTACACTGTAAGGCAACTTTTACCGTTGTTTTGTTTTTTCAGTTGGCTATTTTGACTACTTCCACTTACTACACTAAAAACAGTGCCTTCATTAAGCCAGGTCAAGCCCCGGTTTTTTTCTCTCACGTTTTTGGGCCACGGCGACGAAAAGGGCTTGCGATGTTCAACGTGATATTATATGTGCCAGGCTTGCCACTACTTACGTAGACAAAAAATGTGACGCAAATTAAAAGAACAAGTGGTGTGAGTGTGCAAAATCCCTATTTAGTTACATCTCTCATTGCTTATTAAAAAACCCAAAAAGTACGCCCAAAAACGATTCAAAATGTCGAAACAGTGAAAATACGGTAACTTAACCTGCCCCCTCCTCCTATATTGGGAAGCTCGATATTTCCTGGAAGGGAGAGGGTGGCTTTTAGAAAGGCTAGTAGTGTGCGGGAGGAACGCATTTTCAAAGTGGCTAGGTCACCGCGCGCATGACTAAGACAATTTCAGCACTTACGGCTTACACACGAATACAGTACTAAGATGTTAAGATATCACTCAGTTAGTTAAAATCTATATATAGCCAAGTTAATAAACTGAATGGATTGCACTGAAAAGCATTGACAATCAGACCTTTTTAATCCTTATCTGAAAGGTACAAAAGCGCAGGTTTAAAATGCTCAGTAACTGAACCTCTGATGAGGCCCTGATTCTGTTAATTAAAGACTGTTTTGTCAAGACTTCGTAACTGATAAAAACATCAAATTTAAATCAACTTTTATAACGCGGCGCCATACTAGCCTCTTAAATGTAGTTGCTCCCGCCAAAAACGCTGGACTTTTTGGAAGCTCATTTTTCATGATTATTGTCTCGCTGTCGATATTAGACATGACGACTTGTTAGCTAGTCAACTTTATGTTGCATTGTCGATCAATATGAAATACTTACACGATACACAGTATCGCTTTCTGTCCTTCAAAAATGTCAAAAGACACCATATAACAGTCGTTTTGAATAAATTATATGAAACGTATTATTTCCTTTTGAAAACTGAAACTTTTAAATAATATCAATAAATAACTAAATAAATTCGTTCTTCAAGGCGAATCTCCAAGCTGGCTAGAACGAGTCACAATTTTTACTTTTTAAGAAAATAAATATATGTTAAAAATTTAAATATCGTTATGTACACATTAAAAGATAGATATAAATATATACTAATAACCAATATTTACCTAAAATAACTTAAATTGTTAAACTATTTTTGGCCTAAAGTAGATAGTTGGATCTTGGTCTACGATTAAAAGTATGTTAAAAATCTTGCCGCCTTTTGAGAATTCGTGGTGTTGTGCGGTTGTTTTAATTTTCCGTTGCGTTTAAAACCCAGGAACCATTCTGCGTTATGAATTGATTGAAATGTTGTAAACCCTGATTTCATTCCTTCTTTAAACAAGCAACGCTGCATTGTGTTTCCATGAACCTGCAGTAAAGAAGAGCAAGCTTTGTTATAATTTAAATTTTTAGTTGACCACTGTAGTTAACCCTTCTCGCGTTAACCCTCTTTAGCTATCGCTAGGCCTGAGTCGGTACCCAAGTAACGACTATAACTTGTTAAAGTTGTTTTCGTCATATATGTTTTTTGGTAATTCATTTCTATATATTTGCTCTCTATGTTCAAGTGTTCGGAAACGTTTCGTAGTCGTATTTGTATGCTTGCCAGTAATATTGAACTTCTTGCAAGAAAGTGAAGCAACAACAAAAACAAGTTTTGCGGTGGTAAGATCTTGGCTAAAAAGCAAAAACAACACCAAGAATTTTCCCCCACGGTGGAAAATACACTGAGCAGCTTAACACAGGCTTTATTCAAAACACGGCATTCTTGCCTGGTTGAAAGATTTATGAACCAGCGGAAAGACGATTGTACGCCTGTACACGGACGTTGCTTTATTTTTCTTTTCGATAATCGGCGTGCGCGCGCGGACGCGCGCTCGGCGGACTTTTAAGAGAAACTAGAGGGTCTGTGAACAGGATAAAATTGCGGATGAGATTTTTGGTCCAGATTAACTCCCTACGACCACAATGCAGCTAGAGATTACAACTTTAAATAAGGCTTTAATTAGAAAAGGCCGTTTCTCGTGAGTTTAGTTTTGTTTCACGGTGTTCACGGTGTCTTTATGATACAGCCAATTCTCTCTAAGAAGGACACCTTTGGGACTTGCATCAAGTGTCTGTCTTAGATAGATTTCCGTCTTAAAGAGAGTAAAATAAAGGGAAAAAGACAGGGAACAGGTGACTAGGTGTTGGTTTTACAGAAGTGTCCGTCTAAGAGAGGTGTCCGTTAACTGAGAGAGTCGACTGTAAACGCAATGAAGCTGCTTGTTAATTCAATTAATCTTTTAGTAAAAACTATTAGTTAGTTGTAGTCCAGATTGAAAAGAGAGGAGATTGAACGAAATCCAATAAGCATGCAGGTGTAACAAAACTACCCATGCATTCTTCCGCTTAAAAGACCGCCCTTTTTTAACCTTTTATTAATCACCTGAGAGTTTACTGTGCTGAGCACGTACCTCTGTAGTTAGATTGCCCTCTAAATCCACGCAAAGATAACTGTTTTCCTTTACGGATCTAATCCTGAGTACAACAGCTCCCTCAAAACGCGTTGACACCAGCTCGAGCTTGGCTGTAAAACAAAACGTGAAAAGATCAATCAGTCTTCTGTTAACTTGTAAAAATTATTATGGTTAAGGTTTCCTGTTGTTCACAAGTGGTTCATTTCTTATCACATTTTTCTTTCCTGTTGATCAAAATTATAGATGTGGGGATGAAATTGCACAGATCATGTCGGCAGTTAAAATTTAAAAAAATGTTTATTTTCTTTTTTGATGTGTTTGTTTATCATTTCAATGGTTTTATTGGCATCCTTCTCGTTGCACAACTCTTTTTCAGTTCCTTTAATTCTTTGCTTGCGGCCAAATGGTCTTTCTTTGGTACAATAAATTTAACCTCAGTTTATTAAACAATTTCCCACCGAAAAAGAGACAAAGGCTTCGCAGATGAAAAAGGAAGAAGGGTTTACTGCGTCAGAGGAACTATTAAAACGCAAACAATGGCTGAAGTGAATAGGCAACTCAAAAGTACAACCGATGAATGCATTTCACATGAATTCCTTGGCGCCGATGTTGTCTTTTAAATCAAAATAATTTAGCCGCAAAAGGAGGTGCTGGCACATTGTATTTGACGAAAGAGCGAACAAAGATCTCTCGCCCACGTTCGGCTGGCTTTTAAACAGGAATTTTGTGGATTCCAAAAATTCCGCTACACTGGTTGTAAACATCAGAAAGCATTTTATACGTGTACTGTTAACTGTTCACCTTCCGAGAGGAAATTGGTCAAAATACCACATTGAGTAGAAAAACTTGACTAAAAATATACAACACATCGTTTAAGGTTAGTGGGAATTTTTTTTTTCTCATTTGGCCCTATGCACAAGGCTAGACATACTCGGAACTTCCAACTAACCTCTGTTAATTCGTGCTACATAAACATCATCACGAATAAAACTGTTTCTTACATTGTTTTGAATTATGATTATTAAATAGATTGTCATCCAATAAGGCTTAACTTCATAAAGACGCCTTAATAATGAAGTGTAATTCACAGTACCACGGAAAACGTACTGCGTAGTAGCTTTCATTAAAATAGGCCGCACTGGGAGACATCTTGCACCGACTTAATAGGTGTTAGCAGCCGATTTATCACACGCCTTTGTGGGTGACTGGGTTAAGGGTTTCTTGAGAAAGACTCTACAAAAGCAATGACTTTTTTTTTTCTGCAGAACTCACAGGTGCCATACATTGAGCGATAAATAGAAGCTTATTATTTTACAAGTGTTAATTATTGCATTGTATGTCAACAGGCTACAGATAAACGTTACGTCGGGACCTTTAGTGGCGCAAAAACAAAGCAAGTGGAATTTGTTTCACAAGTGCAAGTGATTTACTATGACGAGAGTTATAGTATAAATGACGCAATATTTTGGGAGCTGAGAACAAATCTAGCAGTATCGCTTTGTCCAAAACTGTAAAGATTTCATGCAAATATCTGCAATGACACCTTGAAATCGAGAGTAAGTGTGACAATAAACAGCAGGTGACTAATAAGATAATCTTTCTTTGATTTCAATAATTCCACCTCATTCTTTGCATTTGCACATTTGTCGGAAAAATTCAACCAGGATTAGTCGATACACGCGCCGCTTTTGGCGGGAAAATCAGTCATTGTTCCCCGCGGCGATTAATTGTCACCGCTTTACAGTACAAAGATTATCTACCGACTTTTTGTACAATAGTGTCTTTAAATACAGCTCATAATCGACTTTTAATGCCTGGATAATAGTATAGCTTAACACTCTTTATGAGTTTGATGATGCTACTTAAGTTTATGACTCTTTCCCGGCGGATTACTAACTAGTCGTCAAAGTAACTGAGATATACAAATTTATCAGAGACCTTCTACACATGCACCCAAAGAGTGTCAATGATTTTGCTTCCGAACTAAAATTGTCGGAGAAGATTAAAGCAGTTTAACCTGTAGGCTAAAACTTGAGAGAGATTATTTGTCGGCGGGGCTCTTTGATCCGAAACTAACACAACACGCCGCTAGTATAAAAGCAAATTTTCCCATAAATAACAAGAAATATAGCGGTCATACTAGTTTTTATTACGAACTGCATTGTCATCTTGATGGGCCCGCAGTCGATCTACAAACAGCGTCTCCAGCCGGGTGGAAAATGAGCGAGTTTGCAAACTGGCAGCTTGGGTGGTCGGCGCTTAACTGCCCCTGTACGTAGGTCACTGAGTTTATGAAAAGTTATAATTTTAGATTTAAAGGAAAATTCACACATACCGCTTTCGTCCTTGGTTTTGTCGCAGTCATAGCAAGAGCTATCGACATGGGAACCGTTCACTCTAACAAATCCTTTGGCGTTTGTAGAATATAACCAGACAGTTTTTGCTATACTTGTGTACTCTGTTTTTGAACTCTATAAAAAGGTAGAGAGCAGAAGTCAATTAGGTTGATATTGTAGGCTAACACTTCGATTACTATACAATAACAGTTTATTTGCTATTGTTTTATATGAACTGGCTAGACAGTCCTAATGTACGACTAGTAGAATTAGCCTCCGTCAGAGACCAATGAATTTGACTCACCACGAGCGTCCAATTCGTTAAAACCCCTCGGGAAAGAGTCTTTGTACTTTTTAATTGAGGGCGCGATAAGGCGTACTTTGGATCTAAGAGGATGTCTTCTCTAGTAATCAAGACGTTGTAATTTAGATAACTTAAAAAAAAATCACTTTTATTTTCGATTAGAACATTGCGTGACCTTCCAATCATGAAATAATAATACTGACTCTACTCAATTTTACTGACTGACGTAATATTTGTACTCGATTAGACAGCCAAACGTCGTCTCACTTAAAACACTTACCAAGATTTGTGCAATGTTCATAGTAGGCAATGCCATTGCCCTGAAAGATAAACAAGAAATCGATGATAAAGCATTTTTAAACTGATACTTGTTTAAGACAATGTTAGACGTGTACGTGAATTAAAGCAACCATAAAATTAGTCTTTATGGGCATATCTATCCACGTGGAAAGTTCAAAACAAAAAAACTAAAAACATACAATGATATTTTACCTACCTTGTAAAAATTAACACCAAGGTGAATACCCATAGAAAACTTATAGTTCTGCACATCATGTCAAACATCTTTCGTAAATTAATTCGTGATTAACGAAAATAAATAAGCTCTTGTTAGTTGTGTTCTACTCGGATGACTTGATTCGAATGAATATCCAACTACTATAAGCGAATTTATCTAACCGCAGACATAAACCGGATTTCACTCCATGGCCCTGCCCTTATAGCGATCGATTATGTCAGTCTGTCGATATTAAAAAGGAAAAAAGTCCCGCAAAAGGTGTTGTTAGTCATAGAGGGGTTTTCAATGACATGGCTTGTTCATGTCAAGGAATGCCCCGGGCAAGCCCATCTTGTCTGTCTTGAATATCGGAAATGACAGTCCACACGCTCAAGAACATGATCGCAGTTTGCTGCGTTTGTCAAGTTGTCAGGTGACTGTCACACATTCCCCGCATAGCTTTATTGCCGTTTGTATGGCTTTGTTTACATTGACGACCCGATATCAAGAGACTACCTCATAGTCTCTTGCCGATATCGAAAGTTGTTTTCAATTCTACTCGTTTCCGCAATTCTCTCATCGTCTAAGTACGAATCAGCGGGGATCCGAGTCGTGATGTCATTCATGATGCAATTATAATCAGTGAGCCCACTGATGAGGGACCCTGGGCGCAAGTTAAGTTATGCTCGCATCAGCGAAAATGGGGGAGATTAACCGTATTTCCGCCTATTACGAACAAAGGACAAAATATTTCTGTTTAAATGCTGCGTAGTAGGCCAAGATATCCTGCACTGAAGGGAAGCCGGATCGAAAAGGTTACATCATTTCTTTGGTAGTAATTTTTTTCCTTCGGAAGTTATTTCAGTGGAACTCATCTAAGTTGTGGCCAGCCTTTTACGAAAGCAAATGGACTGAATTTTTTGTATTTGTTCCCTTTTGTTCGGATTTGCGATTGTCTGTTAAAGCGGGCGAGAAAATAAAAAAAAAAAACAGGAAGAGCTTAAGAAGTTGTCACGCAAGGACTCAGGAAACCAAAAAATTTAAGCCTAAACATTTTCAGATACCATAATCGGCAATAGTTATAGAATTTAACAGTTCAGCTGGCAGAATATCAACATTCTTTCAAGCGAACTATTACGCTAGGTAAAAAATATATATATATAAATTTTCCGCCGATAATCGCAGATCACTACAGGTAACTTGACCTCGACTGTTGAAGCACTCATCGATCTCTATTGTGACATGTTCATATGGTTGAGGAATTTCTGTGTCCGCGCGTTTCAGGCACTGTTCGTATCGGCTGACGATTTTGGAACCATTGAGATACTTTTGGGAACCGCCATAGCATAGAGAACATTTTTATTCTAAAGAGACTTCTCATTGAGGAAGTTTTCGGTAAGGAACAAAATTTTGTCCCACGGAAAATCCAGAAATAACAGCATTTTTAATTCAGTATTGACGTCAACTCGCGGCATTGAAAAAATAACTGCAGAGATATAACCTGTTTCCAATATCTAAAAGTTGCAACTTTCTTTCATCTCAACATGCCGAAGTGGCAAATATTACTTCTACTGTGGCAGAATACGATGTAGTAACAAGCTGCCTTGCTGTCATCCCACCAACCGTTAGGTACTTGAAAAGTAGTATGGTATCCATATTTTCGCAGCGGTCTCTCTTGACTCTAAGAAAAGGACCGCTCACTTTCGCTGACCCGGCGAAAGTTAAACAGCAAATTGTATTAAACGCCTAGTTTTAAAACCAGCTGATATTGCAATATATTTTTCTGACGTAGCCTTAAGTTACCAAATAACGATTTTACTAAATCAAGTTACTTCTAAAAATAAGAAGCAAATCAACTGAGTGAGCTGAGGATTTACACGTCAACCCTAAAAGTTTGAAAAAGAAAAAAAAGAAAGAAAAACATTTGCATGATCTTTGCTCTTTAGTCAAAAAAGCTAGTATATATACCTGGGGTTTTACATTTATTCATAGGAAATGCACTTTTATCCCACAGTAATTGACAGTTTTACCGATAAACCGTGTTTCAAAATGCCTTACACAGCAAGTGTTTCAAAATGCCTTACACAGCAAATCCAAACTGTTTGTTAACAAGAAACAATGTGCGAAGTTGTCCGTTTATTTAATCAGAAGAAAGTTGTTTCAGAAAATAATTAATACACGTGCATGCAGAATTGCTACAGTTACGGCTATTTATAATCATGGCATAATATCTGATACAATAAACCCTTTTCCGGATTTTGTTTTTCTGAAAACTGCCTCTGGTCTCCTTCCTTCAGTGAAAAGCTTATACGTTCAGCTGATTCTTCTGTTTCCATACATTACTTAATTACATCTTCCATGCGAGTCTTACACCCTATTTTTAGAGTACACGTAATTATGGTAAATAGAGGAGTCAGCTCAAGTGTCACGCTGCAAGTGTTGGTACTCTGAAATTGAGATTCTAGCTGTAAAAGTGAAAATTTTCACTTGAACAGTCAGGCTTCGAACCAACCAAGGGAGTCACCGATGGTAATTAAATCGGTTCAATGCGCGTAGCATTAATTATAGTAATCATTGTTCAGGGGCACCCAACGACAATTTTCGGAAAATATCTGTTCGGAAGACGATTTGAGATCTAGAATTTTCGGAACAGTTGTTGCAAAATTTCTTGCTTGCCTGCCTCACCTAGGATTTTCGAACCTCTAAATAATGGTCGTATTGCCTATTTTTAACGGATTTTTACCCTAAAAAGGTCACCTTGAATTTTCGGAAGCCTTTTTTCTGGCTGGAATTTTCGAAAAGGTCAGTTTTGATCCCTATAATTTTCGGATCACTAGACTTTCAGCTAGGAAATCTGAACAGATGAAAAATTTTTAGGGGATAAAAATGTGCCTATATCTACCGTTTAAATACTAAAATACGTTTAACAATGCTATGTTAAAGTGGTTTTGAACTATATTCTCGTTGGGTGGCCCTGATTGTTTGGAATAAGTAACTGATAATCCGAATTGCAACAAACGTTTTAGTTGTGTTATTATGCGGTATGCAACTGTTATGCCTAAGATATCGCATAATTATACTGAAATTAAAACGCTTTGAATCAAACTAGGGCAAAGTCAGCCATTTCAACGAGTTTATTCTTCAGTGAGTGAACGCAAAAAAAAACTCCGCATGTGTTCAGTGTCACAGTTAATGATCAGTTCAGATAAACAGCCGCACCTTTCCTCAATTCCCTGCTGCGATATTTCCGGGTTCTGGCAGAGATCAAGTGAGCAGAATAGATCCCTCTTTATAATAGAAAAGACATGTTCCGCTTCTGATTTTGATTTTATTTGCTGAGTAGCCAACTCAGGTTAGAGAGTCATCTTCTAGACCGGATTATTATCAAGTGATTATTATTATTATTTCACTAGTAAGTTTCTGACATACGTTTACCCGGGCTCAGCACCAGTTGGCGAAGAAAGCTTGGAATACTCCTGTCAGCAGAATCAGTTTGGGCAGCGAGCACATTTCCCGGCGGTAGAATTCCGCATTTTGCAGGCAGAATTGGGGCAGACTTGGGCAGATCATCGGAATAATCTATAATACAAGGAAAATTCTTGAAAAGGAAAATTTGACTCAGTTTTAATTGAGCATAATTTGGAATACATCTCATATAGCGAAAGCATCAAGCTGAAAGAATTCACGACTGTACTAACAGGAGTAAACCAAACTGATAGATTTCGTTATCGTTTGCTTTACAAAGATGATCTACATTTTACTTCCGAATCTATTCCGATACGCACAGAAATAATTCAGAGAAAGTATGATTTTATTTCATTCATCCTGGCAGACAGAACACGCCATCTTGCCACAAACTTAGCTCAGTGTATTTTTCCAAGCCTATTGTAGCCCGCTACCGGTTCGCAAAATTTTTCGCGCCTCCATATTCGTGATAAAAAGTAATTAAGCTAGGAGATTCAGTATAACTATGAACTATTGAGAATCACTGGACTTTTCTGCCAATCCAATTCTTGCTGTGAATTTTGTTACTGGTTTATTTCTGTATTTTCTTCTTTTTCTTACTTCTTCTTCTTCTTTCTTTAATTCTTTGCTTTTTAGTCTTATTCTTGTTTATTTAGCTTGAAAACAGTTTCATTGGTAAGCAGCGTTTTTAGCGTACTTTGCCATCACTGGTTAGGATTTGTGTAGTCAAGTTTCTTCAAGCCAGGCCGCTCCCCTCTAATAAAACAGTGTCATCCAAATACAGACAGTCAAAGTAAATGACTAAAGAACGACGGCGATCAACTCTATCACTCCTAATTGTCAGCATTAGGGAGGTGTCCGTTTAGCAGCTAGATGTGGCATGTCTGTCAAAAAAGAAGTCAAGATTGTAACGCAGTTACTTAAAAGAGGAAGATCGTTTGACCTGCAATCGACCGAGTAGTGCATGTTAACTGCGTTATGACGACATGCACCGACGGAGGCGGGATTAAATTTCCTACAGTAGGACGTTTCTATCCGTTGGGCAAATTTAAACCCACAAAATATACCAGCCAGCTGATTATGACGTAAAATACCTTCCTTTAATTTTTTTCTTTCTCTTATTTTTGGAGAGGGCGGGAGGAGGTTTCCTGACTACCAAAGAAAAAGAGTATTCCAGTGCTCGAATGTACATGGAATGTTCATGAGTGTACGTAAGAAGCAAGTCACGGACTGGAAACGCACCGGAGTCAGAGGGTGCGTTAACAGAGTTGGTGACATAATACTAAACGAACTCGGATGTTGGTGGAAAATTGCAATCGTACATGCGTGGCCGGAGTGGAGTGGTTCCACTCTGAAGCCTTTATTCGTCACGTAAGGCATTTTCACGATAAATCGTCGTTCATTTTTATATGTAGCGCTGGGCAAATAATATAAAGTCTTTTCAGCTTGTGTGTGTTTCTTCTCCTCAACAAAGGTATCATAGTGCCACAACAAGTCGGACGTCTTTTTAGAAACTCTTTGTCCATTTAAATTACCCTGGCTGTGATAATGGCTTAAGGAGTAAGAATTTTATGCCTACGCGAGAGAATTTCGTTAACAATATAGTGAAAACCAAATTCACCTAATCCGCTGAAGGAATCCCGCTTTTAACAGCTAAGCAAGAATACTTTGGTTTTAAATCTGGTAAAATTCATTATATAGTACACACCATGATAGCTTCTTTTTTTTCCTTTACTGGACAACATCATGCAATATTTCGTAAGGCGCAAAGCGGCGATTGTATTTGACCTCGGGCAAAACTTAATGGAAGTTTGTGTCAAACTGCAAGTCTCTTAGAAATGCAATAAATCACTTGCAACAAATTTAAAACCAGAAGGAAATATAAAAACTTTGAATAGGATGAAACACATACTTACACACCGAACTAAGAAGAAACTCGGCCGTGTGTTCTTCTAGGCGTTGATGGATCTCTTTCCAGTTGAAGTGCTTAGCTTGTACCTAGAGGACCCCCCTGCACATAACAAGTAGATAAACTGGTTTATTTTTCGGCAAAACGGGCATTTATTTTTAGTCAAGTCATTTAAGCCAGCCTTGCAATTAAATTTTTCTATTATACACACTGTACCAGGCCAGGAATGTAGTGGAGGCCTTCCTTTAATAGCAAATTGCCATTTTCAAACAGTTTCCTTTTTCTTTAAACTTCCTGGGTAAAACTGCATTTCAATGAAATTATGGAAAGCTTCTTATTTCCTATTCCTTGCCATTTGGTGTATAGTTGTTCTGAGTGAGGAAACAAAAATGGTTCTTTTAAGGACTTCGTTAATATTATTTTCTTAAAACCTAAACGCTGAATATTCCGCCATTATAAAAATGATAAGCTTATCAGTCAAGTGGTCAAGTGTGACGAGGTTCTAGGTGGGGGACATGGCTACTTATTTTACCGTTTAAACAAATTTACAAGCCCTGTTGGTCCGATGTTTACCACTTAAAAGGTCTTCAGTTAGGATAATTAGCTGTTCTGCTAGGCAGAATTGCGAACAAAGGTGGAGATCACCTCCTGAAAAGTGATTTAGTTGAAAGATATTAGCTCTAGATCTCCTGCATTGAAACAAACTTTCAACGCACTGAATCTGTTTAATCATTCGATAAGTACGTACAATTCAGTGTTTCATCTCAGTTTAATGGACTATATAGCACCCTGTCATCAGGCCGTCTTTCAGATTCTTTGCGAGGCGGTAAAGCAAGGAAAGTGTGCAACTTATTAGCGCCGTCTTCGTTTACTTTTCGCAATCCAAAAAACAAGCAAACAAAATTAGGACGCCTGAACGCGTAAACAGAGATTGGTCAAGTGGCTTTAAGTTAACGCTTACACTCCGGACTCACCCGACCTAGCACACTATGACGAATTGTAGATTACAACGTAACTAGAAGACCAAGTTATATGATAACAGTTCGCGTACCGGTATATCTGACTCGTTTTCCCGGGCTCGTTTTCTGCCGACTGAGTTCACGAAATCCGTATTTACCGTGATCATGGGGACTTTTGTTGAATCTTACATGTGCTCAGACCATTGCTTGGTAAAACCACGGGAAGATTTCAACAAGCGCATAAATTAAAACTTAAAATTCAAAATCATTTTATCGCGCAAATCAGTCTCGGGCTCTATTCTCTACACCACAAATTTTCGCACATAAAATAAGAGAGTTACTGATAGAAAGGCTCGCGAAGATCTTGAGCTGACTTCTGGATACACTTAACTTAATAGTACTGATCAGGAGGCACCCAACGTCAATTTTCAAAAAATATCTGTTCGGAAGACGATTTGAGATCTAGAATTTTCGGAACATTTGTTGTAAAATTTCTTGCTTGCCTGCCTCTACTAGGATTTTCGAACATCTAAAAGATGGTATAATTGCCCATTTTAACGGATTTTTACTCTAAAAAGGTCACCTAGAATTTTCGGGGGCCTTCTTTCTAACTGATATTTTCGAAAAGGTAAGTTTTGATCCCTATAATTTTCGGATCACTAGACTTTCAGCTAGGAAATCCGAACAGATGAAAAATTTTTAGGGGATAAAAATATGCCTATGTCTACCGTTTAAATACTAAAATACGTTTAACAATGCTAATTTTAAGTGGTTTTGAACTATATTCTCGTTGGGTGCCCCTGACTGATTTTCCTGGCAAAATTACACGAAGGACGGATTTGACTTGATCTGCAAGCTGTGTTCTGTATGGTCAAGAGAGAATGTTATGGTGTAAGTCACGTACGTGTTGTGTGGGGTAATTTGAATTTCCTGTTGTGGGGTGCTGCTTATCCTTTAGGAAGATCTACACCCAAAAGTTCCCCCCAGAGCATGTTTTCGATTAGACCCCACAAAAGCTGACAATAAGCTAAACTTTTTGTGGCTTTAAAGCTAATATGTTGAGAAATGCTTTGTATAAGTATGTGTGTGGTACGTTGATACGGGCTGCCAGAGGCGCGAACGCCGGTCACAGGTGATGTAACAATTGGTTCGCAAGAATTCCATTGCTGGTGATCAATCGCCGCCTTTCGCCTGAGCTGACTATTTCTCTCCTCTCCTGTTTATCTTATCTTCAGGGATTGAAAAGTTCTTAACATTAACCGAGACTAATCGAATAGATAATAAGAGATAAAGTTAGTGCATGGTTTCGTTTCATTTGAAGTTTCAGGATGATCTGATAATACCCCTAAAGGGGCTCTCTGCCCTCCTCTGCAGGGATCACTGCCGTGTTCAGTCCTCACGGTTAGTCTAACTGTTACGAAAGGGATTTCCTGCGGAGGAGGCTACTTGCTGATGACTTAATATAATATACATCTTCCTCATTTGCAATCCGTACCTAAATGATACTTCTAAACTTTTCTACCCCTTGTGTCACAAACCGTTTACGGATTATTCGCCTCCAGGGTTTGCCGGAACGAAGTTGACCTTTTCTTTAAGCACGTGTTGAAATCAGTTGCAATTTCCTAGCGTAAGCCACAGTTCAGTGAAGTTTTGATTGATATGCCTTAATTAAGCTGAGCAGTTGAATAAATTACATATACCAGAATGATCTTCTTAAAGAATTTTAAAAACTTTAAGAAGAAAGGATGCCTCCCTTTCCTTAACAAAACAGTGTGCCATTAATTAATACGGATGGAAAATTGTTATTGTTGGGCGACGAACTTTGTGGGAGCAGTAGCTGACAGTAACGAAAATAGCTCAGCTCATACAAGCGTGTGTTCCTTACATGGGCGTTGCCTAAACGTCCTATTTTCGAAGAATTTACAAACGCTCGGAAATGCCATGCGATTATAATTACGCGTTTTCACCTAAAATTTCGTGAATTGTCTATTCTTTTTTGTTTCTTTTCTTCCTTCTTTTTTCGCTCGATAAGTACGAATAAAGGCAAAAAGAATGACGTTTGTTGCAACATTCCAGCTCTTGAGTTGAAGAGTCGAAGTCAAACTGTGTACGCTTTTTTTTGTGCTCGTAGCCGGAGGGCGAGCAACGCGAGCCCGGAGGCCACGAGCTCACAAAAAAAGTGTACACATTTTGACTGCGACTCTACTACTTCTTGTGACATTATCATTATAGAATGT